TCGAAACTGCAGTCCACTCCAGCCAAGATGAGAACAACTTTTGGGAAAGCAAGGCTATGTGAAATTCAATCAATTCATATCATTGTATGGATAAGGGACTGGTAGAAGAAGAATTTTCCCACAATGATATGAGATGAGCTGACGTTTTCATTGAATCTTCTTCTACCAGTCCTTCATCACCTTAAACGAAATTGGGTGAATACATCTCATACTACTGATTTACTGGTAGCCTCATCTACCAGTCCTTCATCACCTTAAACGAAATTGGGTGAATACATCTCATATTACTGATTTACTGATAGTCTTGAAAACAATACTTAATTCAAAAAATAAAGAAAAGACTAGTTTTGTCGCCTCCTTCTTGCAGGCAGCTCAAATTAACAACATTGACTGCAATTTTAAGTTGATAATGGAGATGGAGATGAACAATAACTTACTCTTTTTGGAGGTCTCAGTGATCAGAGCAGGTGAGAAGTTTAGCAAGGATGTGTATAGAAAGCCAAATCATATTGGCTTTATTCTTAACTTCTTCTCCAATCATAGTTACAAAACAAAGGTAGCAGTTTTAAAATCTATGATTATTCGGAGCATAATGTTAGCCGATGTAGACCATTTTGACAATGAACTGAATCGGCTTAAAATAATATTTCATTGAGAATAACTATCGCCTTGGCTTGATTGAAAATAACATTAGATTAATAAAGAATAGCTTTTTGAATGGTGAATACGTAAAGAGAGATAAGGAGATCTTTTCTCATGTTTTGTCTTTACCTTCGTGCATTCTCTCTCAAAGGAGAGGTGACCAAGTAAGGAAGTGTGAAATAAAAACGGTCGTCAGGGAAACTACGACATTTTCTTCAGTTACGCCCACTTTTAGAGAGAAAGTTGACCCATTCTCTAGATCGGGTTGCTACAAGATAATGTGTTCATGCGGTCGCTTTTCTGTTGAAGAGTCTTGTCGTCCCATTCGATAAAGAGTGGCTGAGCACAGGCCAGAAATGGGATACGAGATTGAATGGTCTCAAACTTGTCGTTTTGTTGATTCTGGCATGTCTGCAGCTAAACGTAAAATTAGAGAAGCCATCGAAGTAAACCGAATAGGAAATGCATTGAATGTAAGGAATACCGGCAAGAAGATGAGCAAAAACTATTTGTAAACCATACAAGAGGCCACAAAATCTTGGTCGTCATAGCTACAAAAACTATTTGTGCTTAATTAATAGACTGAAGGATAGAGAGGGAGTTGAGCCACCTTTAAAAAGGAGGTGACACAACTAGTTTTTTCTTTTCTTGGTTCCAGTCATATTCACTTCTCTGTACTTTTCGCTCACTCTTTCTCTCTGGCATTGAGACCAAAAACCAAAAATAGGCTCATCAATAAAACCGACCTTACACAATCGGGGTGATGGTTATGAAATGTATGCAGAAAGGGAGAGAAGGTGATCAACAAACCTTGCTGGCCGAGAATAGACGCTACTTCTGCTGCCCTAATTACTTTAAGCCATCACTGCGGGTTTCGTGTATGAGTGAGCACAAACAGGCCCATACACATACAGAGACAGACACACTCACAGACATCGAAGTTGCCATATGACCGTAACTAACCAAATCACTTTATACTTGATCAAAGCGGTCAGATGTAGAGTGTGTATACCACTTTTTAGGGATTTGCTTCAATTTTGTTGTGACGATGTTACCTCGCTCTGATCATGTCCGTCATATGACGCACGAAAGCTTAGTACCTCTTGACCGGAATCGAATGAGATTGGCCCGGAAACAACGTCAGCATGAATGTTCCAGTAAAGCCAATCAACAACTGTTTGAAAGGAATCTGCCGTCGTCTTCTGGTCGAATCGAGCTTCGAATCTCTTCACCGCACACTTTCACACGAAATGTGAGTAAGCTCAACAATTACCAAACTACATCTCTACTTCACTTCACAGTCGGCTCTAGATCCATTGGATGTGGAGGTCGTCTGTGAAGAAGCGAGCAACCTGTCGAGTGTGATTGTACAGAAGGGCCCGCCGAGAGGTCTGACGGAAGAATGTGTCTACGAGGAAGATGTGTTATTCGCCTGCGAACCATAGTTTCTGTCAGTAACTTTTGCCTACCAACTTGTCCAGGCCAGGTCGGTTAAAGTGAATCAAGGGCTGCTAGTTGAGTTTTCCCACAATCTGACGTCTGGGCCTTACAAAACCGGTGAACTTCACTCTAATGAGATGTATTCACCCTATTTCGGTTAAGGTGATGAAGGACTGGTAGAAGAAGGATTTTCCCACAATCATATGAGTTTAACTGACGTTGCCATTGAATTTCACATAGCCTTGCTTTCCCAAAAGTTGGCTGAGAAGAACTTTTGGGAAAGCAAGGCTATGTGAAATTGAATGGAAACGTCAGCTCTACTCATATGATTGTGAGAAAATTCTTATTTTGGGAAAGCAATACTATATGAAATTCAATGGAAACGTCAGCTCAACTCATATCATTGTGGGAAAATTCTACTTGCAAGGCTATGTGAAATTCAATGGAAAAAGTCAGCTTAACTCATATCATTGTGGGAAAATTCTACTACCATTCCTTCATCACCTTAGACGAAATAGGGTGAATACATCTCATTACACTGATTTACTGGTAGTCTCGAAACCCTGCTTTCACACGAACTTCACTCCACCTGCCTACCAACATCGAATTGCTTTTACCAGTTCGAAAGTGTGTTTCCGTCTGGAGGAGAGAGCCTTTGAAGGCCAGGCAAAAGTCAGTGAAATCCAATGGCTTCTCGGCACCAACTCTCTGTATTAGAGCAAAAGTTCAACTATCCATCCTTAAAGTCACCTTCAGCGACCTTGCTCGAGAATTTCTGCAAGTCTTGCAATCTATTCACACCGAAGATACATAACCTCGTCAATTGCCATGACAAACGAAACCTAGGCGAGGAGGAAATCGAGAGAAAGCCTTTTCAGAGACCAGATTAACCGAAGTCGCAACATGGTCTTGTTGTCAGGGCGACTATGTAGAACGCACCTAGTGCGAAGTT